TTGTGCTATCACCTGTCTAGAGAGGAAATGTGACTCAGGATCACATCTGCATCATCTTTTTGACTTTTTTATTTTAGTTTTAAAGCAGAACTTTAGGGGTGAGCAAAGGTGACAACAACATAAGAACTAAGAAAACTAAGAAAAGAGAAAATTGGCTGAGAAAAGAGACATAAAAGACAATAGTAATTGTGTAAAATACTTCCCTTGTTGCTTTTCAAGTATTAATTAGATATATACGATATTAAAAGAAAGGTTGCAATAAATGACAGGAAAGACTTTATATTAATCAAAGAAACCGGAAAAAATTGTATCATGGTTTCCCCCAAACAAAATTAAGCAGCACGAATGTTTTCAACATTGATGATAATAATTATTTCTTGAGCACCAAAATCAGCATTTTAGAATGCTGTGACACTGAAGACTAGAGTATAGGCTGGAGTAAATTCAGCGTTGCCACCACAATAATTATTACAGTTTTAATATATATTAAAATAGGAAATATTTTTAAATTATAATATTTCACAATATTACTGTTTTTATGTTTTTTTTTGTTGATCAAATAAATGCAGCATCGGTGAGTACAAGACAATGTCAGACTACGTTTGAACAGTAGTGTATATATATTAGAAATTAATATCATTAGTTATACTTAAGATCTTTTTTTCTCTTCAATTTTGATTTTGTAGACACAATTTATGCCAGCTTTTTATGAATAGTAGGCCTATATTATTTTTCAGGCATATAATCACCCTCATGCTGTTCCAAATCCAAAAAAGATGTTTTGAAGAATGTTCACGCTGCTCTTTTTTATACAATGTATCTATATAGTGACAGGGGGCTGATCAAAGTAAAGCAAGTAGAACTTCCAAATCTTGATGTCGAGTGATAGCTTTGATTGAGGAACAGACCAAACTTAATTATTCACTAAAAATCTTGCCTGCATTTGTCATCTTTAGTGTCTCACTGAAGGATGAGGATGGCTAAATGTCAATGTGCCATCAGTAGAGGTCTGGGAACATGATTACGTATTTTTCTGAATGATGCATCATTTTGTTATATCTGATTTCCTCCTGTTGGGTGGTTGATTCCATGTAACTTCAGGTTGCTGAATGCATAAAGGATGCGATATCCGACAGTATAATCACATTGACATTGTGTGAGTGCATGTCATTTTGTATTACTTTTCCCTGGAATGGATCGCTACTGTATTATTCTGTGAGAATTTCAAACCTATTATTGCAAAATATAAAAGGACTTTTAGTGAGCAATTGTTTGCAACCAAAAGCATGGTGAAAAGTGCTTCTCTGAAAAGCCATTGAAATGTGCTTCAGTAAGATTGATAATTATGTTTAAATAAAGAAACCTATTACTGCCCGAGCCGTGAGAATGTGAGTGGTCACATGTGTTTCTGTTGATCCTGATCATGTTCAGCAGTCTATGCCAACCCACAGTTCTCCAGATGTTGGCCTCTGTTGTATTGGACACAGCTCATTTTATATGTAGGTTATTACATAACGGTTAGTTCTAGTCCTCTAATTTCATTGGCCAAGAGTGATATACAATATATGCAATATACAATCAGAGCTAGGTAGTATCTGATTACATGTTTTGAATTATGTAATCAAATTCCAAAAATCATGTACTCAAAATTAGAGTATGTTAAAGGGGTCATATGATGCGATTTCAAGTTTTCCTTTCTCTTTGGAGTGTTACAAGCTGATTGTGCATAGATAAGATCCCTGAAGTTGCAAAGACTAAAGTCTCAAAACCAAAGAGATATTCTTATGTGTTTTTTGAACATTAAAGCATGTCAACATATTCTGTTACACCAAATACACAAAATAATGATCTTTAAAAAAGCATCATATGACCCCTTTAATTTTATAATGCTCATAATCAGATTACAGTTAGCTACTTTTTTATGGATTACATTATTACATATCGTTCACACAATGGAGGTAATCATTCATAATGCATTGATTCTCCCTAATTCTTCTTTTTTCTCTCTTAAATTCTCTTTCTCTTTTAATTTCATTTAAATTTGTGTCATAACATTTAGCTTTGACTATATTCATAATATTGAATGGTCATGTAGCTAAATGCTTCTGAATTTGGGTGGGAAAAAAAACACCTTTTAAGCAATTAGACCATGTGTGAAACAAATAATTATGCAAGTTACTAAACACTGGTGATTTATAGTCTGTGTTCATCACGTCCAGTGACCTTCAGTAACTGTTGGTTCTTACATTAAGACCAGTTTGGGAAACCCTTATCTAATGTAATGTTTAATGCATTTTATGATGTTGATATAAATAAAGGAATATAGTTTCTTTCTTTTTGCTTTTTTATGTCAATATGGTAAGTTTAAAACAAGTTAGATAAAAGTAATCTAAAAATTAGTCAAAATACATGACCTAAAATGAGTAACCTAGATTACTGACTACAGTTTTTATCGTGTATTCTGTAATAAGTAATGAACTACAATTTGTAAGTAATCTACCCAGTTCTGTATACAATACACTACGGGTGTGACGAGACACTTATCCCACGAGACGAGACAAGACACGAGACTGGGTTCACGAGAACGAGACGAGATTTTTAGATTTTTTAAAAGAAATCCTCAATGATGAAATATATAGGGAAAAATAGTATTTTATTCAACTGAAAAACACAAAATGCAAAAATGTAGGTGCATTTTGAAATCAACTTGTACTTTATGAAATTACACATCTATTTTAATAAATTTTATGCAGTAATAAACAACATGTAAACACTGCAAAATGTTTTGCCACAAACTCAACTGACAGGCAAGTAATTGCACAAAAATT